CTGGGAGAGCCGGGCAGGGCGGGAGGTGAGGCGTGCAATTGCTCGCCGATGCCTGTTTTCCTGGGCGCTTTCCATCAGTTCGTTCGTATTTATAAACGCCGGTATCACGCGGAGTGAGCGCTTAGTTGGGACGAGCTGGATCATACATGTTAACGTGAATTTTTTAAAACTAGTGCGTGTAGCTGTGTGACACGCTTATGAGTTATTTAGCCCGAGGGACGTGAAAGCTCCCGGAATGAAGCTGCTCCGTTCCGTGGCTGGCTGTGCTGGATGTGTCAGCGGCGCCTCCGCTGCCTCCGGGGAAGGGCGCCTCCGCTGCCTCCGGGACAGGCCTGTCGCCCGTCCTCTTCGCTCACTGCCGGAGCTTGGGCTGTTGTAGAGCGCCTGGAAGCAAACGGTCGAGCTGAGTTTTAGATTCTGTTGGAACGCTTGCGTGCAGAGGTGATCCAGCTTCTCCCTCTTCTCTTTTCTCCCTCCCCCTAATCTGAAGACAGCTAGAATAGGGGGGGGTTGCTTTTTAAGCTGGAATACGTCTTATGAATTAGCTAGAGGGGAAAAGTGTCTGTGAAATATCAGAATAAGTTTAGATCAGTAAATTACTGCGTGCTTGAAAGCCATAGCATTAGCTCTGTCAAATTTTAGAGCTGTACATATTCTCCAAACAGGTTTTTTTTTCATTTGTTGGGGCTGCTGTTTGCACTCTTACATCTTGATTTTATAATCTTTAAGCTCTGAGCGGTAGCAGCTGTTTCTATTACACGGCTTTGAGTGTTTCACTGATAAAGGCAGGGCAGTAGTGCTTTGATATTTAATTTCTTAACTTTTAATTTATGTTTATTCTGAAAATCGATGTTGAGGATGCATCTGCAGCACTCACTAAAGAAACCAGCTTTTGCTGTAGGCTTTCTGGAGAGGCCCAAGGTGTGGGGAAGAACTGGTCATTAGCGAAATAAATTGCTCTTCTTGCACAAGCACCCTCTTTTCCTGTAGAACATAAGCACGATAGTACTCTGCAGAGTCACATCATGTTTGTGTGACTTTTAAAGGGCATGAACTGTTCATCATGACACACGGCTACTGTACAAAGCTACAAAATTATGAACTATTTACCTTAAAGGAAAGCAGTTGTATTTACGTGATTGCCAGGTAATGCATACAATGGAGAATAGAAGTAATTACTTTGAAAAAGTAGTTATTAAGAAACTTGCAGAGCAGACCTCGTGAGCCTTTTAGCACTGTGCCCGAGGTGCTTGGCTTGGTGGACTCCTCAGAGAACAGGAACCGTTACCTCATGTGTTGATGCTGCTGGAGAGAGGCTATAGAGAGTTTTCCTTATTCCCCTCCACTACATTGCTGACAGTTGATTGGTGTATTGGTTGAGGTGGAAGCAAGTGATCTGTTTGTTCTTCAGGCTTCCAGTGTGAAAGATTTCTGGAGAAACAGAGCAGGGTAGGGACTGTTAAAATGTTAAACTTACTTTCCATCTCCTGTGAGGAGCACCGAAGGGAAATAGGAGTGACGGTTGCTATGGTGCACTCACATTCTTCATCTACAATAGATTCGTGGCTAAGAGCTCTTGTGTTTTGCCTGGGCGCTGCGTTCCCCAGAACCTGTGAACCTAGGCTGAGGTTGGAGATTCGGTGAACGCTGCATGCCTGGGCTGCAGGTGGTGGGGCTGAGGCGGGCGATCTGAGTGGCAGGGACCTGTGTTTGCGGAGGACGGTGAAGAGGAGGAGGAGGGCAGGGCCAGGCAGTGGCATTTGGCAGGAAGATCAAAGCGGAGAGTGGGAGGGAGATGGAGTCTGTCCCAAGGGGCAGGAGGGAGCGCCCCGGTGTGCAGGGTGTGCACGCGAGTGAGCGGCCGTGTGAGGGGCCAGCCAAAGTGTCCCATGTGGCCCTCTGGTGCTCACTGGTTTGTACAGAGATCATTAACATGGAGTGGGTCTAGCACGGGTGGTGATTCTTTCCTTGGCAGAGTTATCGCATAAGGCAGTTCAGCTAGATGTTGAGGGTGTGTCGTAACATCTATTTATTTTGCTGAGAAGTTGCTGGTTTGTACTAAGTATAGAATCCTGGAATGGTCTAGGTTGGAAGGGACCTCAGAGATCATCTCATCCAAGCCCCTGCCATGGGCAGGGATGCCCTTAACCAGCCCAGGTTGCTCAAGGCCTCATCCAGCCTGGCCTTGAACACCTCCAGGGAGGGGGCAGCCACAACTTCTCTGGACAATTTATTCCAGAGTCTTGCCAGCCTCGTACTGAAGAATTTCTTCCTAAGGTCCAGTCTAAATCTATTCTTTAACTTAAATCCATTTCCCCTTGTCCTGTTGCTGGACACCCTTGTCAAAAGTCCCTCCCCAGCCTCCCTGCAGGTTCCCTTCAGGTATTGGAGGAGAACTGAATAAATTTAAATCTATTTGGAATAAGCTTCCGCTGGACTCTCACAGGAAAACTGTACCGCTTCACTTTTATACCTCCTTATCTGCTTGTGATAGTTTTTTTAGAAAAACCACAATCCTTTGTACTTGCAGGTGTTAAAATATGTGACTCCTACCAGTGTTTTTAAAATTGCGAATAAGGCTCATGTGTGAAGCAGATCTAATTGCTGAAGGTTTGTGTGAAATACATGGAGGCCTGAAGCACTTGGGAGACTTTTGGCTGATAATTCACCCCCAAGTTCTGCTTGAATCTTCGCAGATACTGAGTCCTCTTGTTTCTGCAGGAAATATCAGTAACCTCAGCCATGGAGAGCGCAGAGAATACAGAGGAGGAGAAGCCGACTGTAAGCAATGACAGCACAGACAATGGCACCGAAACGGTGACGGAGGAGCAGCAGATGGACTTCAGTACAGAAATCATGAGTGTAACTGAGATGGAACAGTCGCCTGATAGTTCCCCGGACTTGAATGAAGAGAACATGCAGGAGAGTGAAATTACAAATATCGAAAGTTTACAGACATCGGACATTGAGACCTGCTTCCCTCTGGATTTTGACAAGTTCTGGAAAGTGGTAGAGGACAATCCCCAGGATTTCACAGGATGGGTGTATCTGCTACAGTATGTGGAGCAGGAGGTTAGTACATGCCCCCTTTATCCTTAGCCTTCCAGAAATAAACAACGGAAACCAAAACAAGTCATGGGTATTGCAGTGACAGTTCTGGAACTGCACATCAGGCTTTCATAAATAGTGTTTTAAGACAGTTGCCCTTGCTGGTGTCGTCAGCAGAGATCACAGAATCAACCCGATGGTTTGTAAGACAACGTTAAAACCATAATTGATTTTAAAATAACGTGAACCTTTTCTTAACAAAAAGATTCATGGCTTTTATTGTGCGTTTCTTGCAGAACCACTTACCAGCGGCCAGGAAAGCGTTTGACAGGTTTTTCACACATTATCCATACTGCTATGGATATTGGAAAAAATACGCGGACCTCGAGAAGCGCCACGACAACGTGAAGCAGTCGGATGAGGTATGTAGGTAGCTGGGCGCAGCTGTTACCATCGGTCCTGTTAGCCAAATAATGACTAACCTCCTGCAAGTCATTTGGCTGCCAGTACCTGCCATGTATGGTCAGGTTTGTAGGGATTTTGTTTGCACTTGTCACGTCTGTGGCAATTGTAGCTAATGTTTTCTCTCTTTGTTGGCAGGTGCGTTAAACCTCTACAGTTTGTCAAGCTTTGCAGTGCAAGCCTCTGTATTACACTGCAGCTTAACAAGTAGGGCAGGGCTTTTCTGTCACTTACATTTATTACTCATTTTCAAAACAATATAGTTGGTTTGCTGGTCACAATTGCTACATCTTATTGCATTTTTGGTCAGACGCTGTCAATGATGCTCTAATGGGTCTGTGCCCTATGGTCTGTACCCCAAAGCCTGCCCACACAACCTGGTCAGAATGCAGGGACCGCTGCGCTTTGAAGATCAAGACTCTGCACGTGGAGATCAGAACATTGCCATGTTCTATCCAACCTCCACCCAAATGGTAATGGTAGATTATTTAAACAAAATTCCAGTAATTAGTATTTCTAAGGTTCACCGGATAACACAGTGTTGCCTCTCTATTAGGACGCCATTAACTATTTGAAGTACAGTCCACGTTCTCTTCTTAGGTTTATCGCAGAGGGCTTCAGGCAATTCCTCTTAGTGTTGATCTTTGGATACATTATATAAACTTCTTAAAGGAGACCTTGGACCCTGCTGATCCTGAAACTAACACTACTATTCGAGGGTAAGTCGAAAGAAGACCCAGTGGTATGAGAAGCCAGTTTTACTTTAGCAGGGTAGTCAGATGGAAGTGTTTGAGCTAAGGGGCAAGCTGGGAGCAGCCCATGGTTGCTGTAAGGACTTTTAAGAGATGGTGGAGACCAATTGCAGAGGAAGGGGTAGACAATGCAACGTCGCACAGTGGTCACAAGTTGTGACTTGAGAGCTTCAGACTAGTGATTAGGAAAAGCTTTGTGCAGTGCTGGAACAGGTTCCCCAGAGAACTCTTGGAGTTTAATTCCTTGGAGATTTTCAGGGTATGACTAGAACGTGGCCAACCTCATGTGCTGCTGGCAGTGGTCCTCATTAGAGTGGGAGGCTGGACTAAAGTTAGGTCTGAAACCTGAATTGAACTTCTAACTGAAGCAGCTCCTAGCTGTGTGGTTGGTGCATAGCTTTCGTGTGCTGTTAAAGTAATGGGTTTGGAATCTTTATAGGATAGAAGTGGTGAAGATGGTGTGTTTTCCTAATGTGTTGCATTCCCACAAGTAGCATTTTCTGTTGCCTTTATCTGTTCTCTTGTGGTAGTGCTGGAGAAAGAAAAAGTGAGTGCAAGCTTTCTGAATTTCTGGAGATCTTGCTGCAGATATCTAGAAGATACTTTGAGGAATTCCAGTAAATAATATGAGCATGGTTGCAAGTAAATGAGGATGCTCATAATCTGAATGAGAGCCAGAACTTTACTTCTTTGTTTGTCCAGAAACAAGCGTAAAATTATTTTCATTTTTCAGAGCCTATGAACATGCAGTCTTAGCTGCTGGGACAGATTTCCGTTCTGACAGACTCTGGGAAATGTATATAAACTGGGAAAATGATCAGGGAAACCTAAGGGAAGTTACATCCATCTATGACCGCATCCTTGGAATCCCAACGCAGCTCTACAGTCATCACTTCCAGAGGTAAAGAGAAAACAGACTTTTAGTTAATGCTATAAATTTCTTAAGCACACACTAATCTAATTCTATAAATGTGAAAATGTTCACTTGAACAACAAGAATGTGAAATAGTTGCTTATTTTATATACATAATCATGTACTCGTACAGTTTGTCTGATTGTTTCAAAGTACCAATACACATTTTAGGAGTTTGGTTTTAGATAAATTCACAAACTCTGCTACGGAATGGAGGAAGGCCATGGAATTGTGAGGAAGAAGAGAGGATGTCTTGGAAAACTCAGAATCGATGAACTTTTAATTCCTCAGGCAGTGCTCCTGTTTGATGAAATACGAAAGAGAAATACTTGATTTGGTTTTACGTAGCAGAATTCTGTATTAATGTGGAGAGATTGATAGGGAATCAGAAACCGTAGTTAAGTTATGCAGTGGTCCTCCCCATAACTTCGACAGATCTTCTGGTTTCTGAAATGAAAGTATCTTCGTCTAAAACTGCTCTTGGCCTTTGCTGCCAATGTTATATGGCAAGTGGTCTGTCTTTGCCGCTGAACTTGGTCATCCTTTCGTTTCTCTTTGAAATCTGAAGCTTTTGAAGTGTGGCGTGTAGCAGAAGTTGTGTTTCGTGTTGTCAGAAGTTTCATTCTTGGTGTTGCTCCAGATAGATAATCCCACTAGGGTTTATTGCTGTGCTCTGGTTAGGCAGAGTACTGCAACCTGGGAGCATCCAGTTTGCGTTGCCGTATTTCTAACTGTCCTTAGATTTAAAGAACATATCCAGAACAACTTGCCTCGAGACTTCCTGACTACCGAGCAGTTTGTTCAGCTGCGCAGAGAACTGGCATCTGTGAACGGCCACAGCGGGGAGGAGGCACAGCCTGGAGATGACCTGCCCTCTGGTACAGAAGACATAACTGACCCTGCCAAGGTACGGATGCAGAGGATGCTCGGAGCCTTACTCCGTGGCTGGAAGAGGAGTTCCTTGGCAGGCTGTTGAGCGTAGCTCTAGCTGAGGTGTTCCCGTAGTTCTCTTGCGCATCATTGCTCTTGGGCTCCTGTGAGAGCTGCTCTTGTCTATGGGATGTGCCTTTCTGGTGTTTTCATTGGTGTTAAAGAAATGGAGTTTAAAAATCAAAGCAGTGATATACAAAACTTGAGGGGTGAATAATGATCGTTGCAGACTAACGGATTAGGAACTGGGGTTTGTGGCCTTCAAAGATTTGTGAAAACTTGGAGCTGTGCAAGGGAATTGCCGACTGTGCAGATGTACTCATACTGAAACCAGTTTGGCTTAGATCTAAATTCAACTTTAACCTCAATCATCTTTAGCATCAAAGCAAAACTTCAGACAGAACCCAGTTCAGCTGGGTTGCATGAGGGGCCGAGGCACCGCCGGGGCAGTATCCCACCCCTCCGCGGGCTGGTGAGGGTAACATTTAATGCATCCGTGGCGCTTTGAATTTACCCGTGTTACTGTCATCGTAAACTGCACTGACAAAGGTGATGTGGTGTCTGCCTGTGTTACATTTTTTACAATTATGTTTTAGCTAATCACTGAGATAGAAAACATGAGGCACAGAATCATTGAGATTCATCAAGAAATGTTTAACCACAATGAACATGAAGTCAGTAAAAGGTGGACGTTTGAAGAAGCGGTAAGTTTGGTTTTTCTCTGTTTCAAACGTCAGCCTGGCACCTCGGAACCTTGAGTAACAGTTCGGCCCTGTGATTCTAACTGTCGTGGGGCTTGGAGCAAAAACCGAGTTTCACTTCTCTGCCGGTTTTCTTGTGAAAAGGCAACTTGAGAGGTCAGCTCTGTTACCTGACGATGTAAAAATCTTTCATCGGTATCTGGAGGGAGGCAAGGTTCTGTGTTGGGTACTGGGCAGTCTTTAAACACGTGTGTGAAGTGCTCTAGGGGTCAGTGCTGCCGTGGGCAGCTGGGCTCTTGCAGAATGCATGAAGCGGGGATGGAGGTAATTCTAGTTGAAAAGGAAAGTCTGTCCTGAAAGGAGAACGAAGTAGCTGTCGTAACATGCAGCTCCTAGGTATAACACATTGAGAATGATCACTTAAACTCATCTTTTGATGAGTGCAAATACAGAACTACTTCTGCATAGAATTAAGTTTGGTTACTTTTGAAAAAGGAACCTGGATTTTATTTCTGTCTTTTTCTTGATTTCTTCTTTTCTTCCTGGCAAATACCATACTGTGTAACATGGTTCTGGTTAAGTAGGGGAGGCTCAAATATGCTGGTGTGTTGTGGAGAACGGTTACAGAGTTTAAGTGTTCTCGGCTCGCGAAGCCTTAGGCTACAAATTTATAAAACGGAGAAGAATGCTAAAACTGTGGACACGCTGGAGGAAACGTGTGAGAGAGGGTGTCCTCCCTTAATGCGTGCCTTTGCTACCAAGAGAGTATCTCTGCTCTGTAGATACCGGCGTGTTGGATCTGTGAGGCATTTGAAATGCGAGGGACAGAAATGAGTTAGAGAGGCACCAGGCGTCACGTGAGCGATGGAGATTGCTCAGACCTGGTTTCCTTTATCTTAGCAGGGACAGTGTACCTGTGGCTTTGTCATAGGGAAGTGTCGAGTTCTCCAGTAGAGTTGGGTGAGGAGTACGAAGGGACTGATTGGCTTTAAATTTCAGGTGGCCTTGAAGAAAATAACTAGGGAGTAATGTTCAGTTAAGTTCTTTATCCACTTACATGGAGGTCTGACACGATATTGCAGAACTGGAGAGGTGATTGGGTTAAGTTAAAGATTTAGCAAGAAAATGCAGAAGATCTTTGGAAGGGTGCTTTGCTGTGTCTAGTTCAAAGCAATGCTTAAACTTTCTGTGCTGAGCTCTGTCCTGCCCAGCTCCTCTTGTAGTCACCAGCAGACACGCGAGCCTATCATCTCCTGGAATTACAGCTTCGTGTAAATATTTAATATGAAGTTCGGTTCAATGTTCTTTCCTTTCCATGATTCTCAACCGAATTTGGAATTTAATTTGTAGGAGCGCGCTAGTGCAGCAGTAAGTGTGGTAGCTGGCTCTGTGTGCGTGTGTGGGCAATGCCCATCGCTGCTCACAGCGTCCCCGTTACGCTGTGACCGTGGGTTTGCGAGGGAGGAGCTGCCCTGAGTACTTTCTCAGCCTCTGCAAACATTTGCCCTCGGAGTGCTTTCTAGAAAAGCAAGTTACCGGCCTTGGATGTAACCATCAGCAGCATCTCTCCATCAGTGCTTGAGTAACCCCAGCAGAGTAGTTTGAGTGGGCAGTGACGTGTCGTTCTGAACTGCCGTTCGGTCAAAGGGTGTTACCTGAGCGATGTGGGGCTGTTTAGCTGGGGTTTTTTAAGCAACTTGGTGGCGTGCTGCTTGGTCACCAGCTGCCGTGCTGTGACTCTTGCAGATAAGGAGGCCTTACTTCCACGTAAAACCTCTGGAGAAAATTCAGCTGAAAAACTGGAAAGAGTACTTAGAGTTCGAGATAGAAAACGGCACTCACGAGCGAGTTGTGGTCCTCTTTGAACGATGTGTTATTTCATGTGCCCTCTATGAGGACTTCTGGATTAAGGTAAGGGAAGTGGTTCACCACCTGCCTCCTACCGATTGCATACCTTGACCTAGTGACTAACCTTTTGTACTCTTGTGGAACGTTGTTCATCTATAACTATATCTGTTGCATTAGGAGATGGTCTGCTTGCAACCAGATTTGACTGCTGCATATGCCAACTTCGTTGCCTCTCTACGTCCTTCCTTACAGAAACTAGTCTAGTGGTTCAATAAAGGTGCTGAATGGGTTTAAACACAAAGAATTTTATCGCTCTGTCATGTTTCGAAAGACAAGTCCAAGCTTTAAATTCTTCAATCTCTGCTCTGTTTTCAACTATAGTATGCCAAATACATGGAGAATCATAGTATTGAAGGAGTGAGGCATGTCTACAGCAGGGCTTGCACAATACACCTCCCTAAGAAACCCATGGTTCACATGCTGTGGGCAGCCTTTGAGGAGCAGCAGGGTAAGAGCACCGTTAGTTTTGGCTGGGAGGGATGCTGGTTGGCCGAGGCTGTTGGATGGCTCCTATCTTAAAGCGTCTTCACCGGTGTTTTAGGCAACATCGATGAAGCCAGAAGAATCTTGAAAACGTTCGAAGAGTGTATTCTAGGGCTAGCAATGATTCGCTTGCGAAGAGTAAGCTTAGAACGCAGACACGGGAACATGGAGGAAGCCGAACACCTGCTCGAAGAGGCTGTTAGGAATGCCAAGTCAATTAGCGAGTCGTCGTTCTATGCCATCAAATTAGCTCGACATCTCTTCAAAGTACAGAAAAACCTCCCAAAGGCAAGAAAAGTGCTGTCAGAAGCCATAGAAATTGACAAAGTATGTGTTCCCTCTTTGCTGTATTAAAAAAAAAAATCCTGGTATTTTTCTCTCTTTCTGAAGCATTTCTTTTCAAAATAAGGCAACAATGATGACAGGAGTTGTACCTGTACGTAATGTTTCATTACTACATGGAGACACCAGTCCCTCTAAACTGATGTTGCTGTATTTGCAGCTTGCAAATCTGCAAGTGCGCTGCCTTTTTTTCTTGGTTTCCCCATCAGAATCACAATGTGCTTCATACCTTCCTTCTTCCTTCGTAGAATCGTAAATGTTACAGGTGCGTTCAGGTCTCAGGATGAGCAGAATTGATTGTTTTGTAGAACCACAGTAATATTTGGCACTCACATGCTGTTAGCTGGGTTAGCAAAGTGTGACATCTGCTTCTGCAGCAGTTAGATCCCTTTGAGTCTTTAATTGTCAAAGGAGCTGGGTCAGAGATGACCGATGTAGAAATAAAATCTTGTTATTGATGGTTTTAGCAGATATTTATGATGTAAATATAATTTCTGGTAGATACGCGTTCAGCATGAAATACCTTAACGTGTCCAATGTACAACTCAGATACGTCTTTTGCGCAGGAAAATACAAAACTGTATCTCAACTTGCTGGAAATGGAGTACAGTGGCGACCTCAAGCAAAACGAAGAGAACATCTTGAGCTGTTTTGATAAGGCCGTCAATGGCGCGTTGTCTATAAAAATGAGGATTACGTTTTCTCAGCGAAAAGTGGAATTTCTGGAAGACTTTGGTTCTGATGTAAACAAGTAAGATGTAATCTGTGCCGTGGTCACCCAGAGTGCTGGTGGCAGCGGTGGGGAAGGGGTACGGCTGGCGGCACCCGTCCAGTTCTTGCTTTTGTGCCGTCGGCTCCTTCATGAGGGAGAGCTGTTTTGGAAACCAACTTCCTGTTTTTACATGGGAATATTGTGTTAGAAGTTTATCCTTTTTTTTTCTGAACTACCTAACACCTCCTAGAGCAAAACTCTGCTGCCGGTAACTTCTTTCTGTAGTTTTCTCTTGCTGAGTTTTGCAAAGGAGAACGAGTGTGAAGTGCTTTGTGACACAGCACAAAGTGATTTCAGCCTCCGAACCCTGGGAGGTGCTGCTTGAAGTTTCCAAATGCCCGTGTTGATGTTTTGGTGTTCAGAAGCACTAACAGTGCTGTGCACTTGGCGGGAGGAGCAGATACTGGAAGTGCAACTCTTCAATTAAATACTAGATATATTTATTTCCTCTCAACTCTCCATTGTACAGCAAGCTCTTGGTTTTATTTATGTTTGTGGCTAATTAACCTGGTAAGACTACCCACGAGTTAGTTTTTCTGCTTGGTATGTCCTCCGTTTCTCCTGACGCTGCCCATGCTGCCTGCGCGGCAGCCGAGCGATGCTGGTGCAGGATCCCAGACAGGCCCCACAGAATGAAGTTTTCAGTTCCCTAAGAACACTAGAGCTCAGAATAAGGACAAGAAAGAAGTACAATATTCTGCAATATTGGCAGAAGCGGCTGTTTTCAAGTGGTGCCTTGCAAGCTGTGGTGTGCCGTGCGTGACCTGGGTTTTAGTTCTGTCTGGGAATTCTGGCCGGGACTCTCGTGCTACATTAAATGAACTTTTGAGAAAAGGCTGTAGGTGCTACTTTTTGGAATTGTTATAATTTTGTGTAATACTCATTGCCAGTATTTAAAGGAACATTGATTCCTAAATTCCGATGCTGCTGGGGACGGCATCACCCCGCAGCCGAGGGAGTGCAGCTGCTGGAAGGAGCGGCTGCATCACACACAAGTTTTCTGAAACTCATTTATAACAGAATTTGGTGACAGAACTGCCTTAAGTGTGGTAGAAGTTGAGCGAGTTGGGAATTTCTGCACTAATAGAAGATTCTTCACTAGACGCTGTGGGATCAGATGAAGTTGTCTGGCTTTCCCATCTTCACAGTGAATCCCTGACTAAAATTTGATTACGACTGAGTTTGGTTCACAATGTTTTTGTGCTTTTACTGTTCAAAGTAGGCGTTTTAAAATGGTTGTGAAGAAAGCAAACAAACTATGAACAAACTTTACTTTTTGTCTCCTTCAGGCTTTTGGATGCCTACGATGAACACCAAGCACTTCTGAAGGAGCAGGATTCTTTGAAAAGGAGAGCGGAGAACGGGTAGGGATTCTGCCTTAGCGTGTGACTAACGGACTGGAGCTGCAGCGTAGGGGGCTGGAACTGCACTGAGCTGTAGCTGATACACAGCGCGTTGCAAATGCTTTAAAAATAATTCAGAGAACGATCTCTGAGAGCGGGGGTTTTATTTTTCTTTAATCTGGATATACGTATGTACATATTTCAGCTTTAAACCTACTGCTTGCAAGAGCAACATCACTGAGTTTTTTTAATCACTTGAAGTATAAACTGAATAGGGCTGTGCCGTTGGCTAAAATCCTGGGAAACACATTTATAGGTAAATAACTTTTGGGGGTTACGTTTCACAGAAAAACTAAACAGTACTGGTGCTCTACGGAGAAACACGCTTCTGCTGTCTCAGTTTGAGCACCAGCACACTTCAAAACCAGCCTCTTGTTCTGAAGCACAACGTGCTGCTGTGCTCCACATCAAATTCCATGACCCTCTTTGGACAGGGCACCAAGTCTGGAAACTTGATTTACTCTTACCCCTTGTAACGCTTGAGGTACCTTGAGGTACCGCTCACAGGCGTCTCTTAACTTCACAGGTCAGAGGATCCGGATGAGAAGAAGATGCTGACAGACGACCCAACTTTGGCGTCAGCCCAGATGATGGATGGTGACATGCAGGTCAATCAGGCAGCGTACAACTACAACGCCTGGTACCAGGTAGGCACAAGCTTGCTCTCTTCACTGAATGGGCACGTTCCAAGCACTCACCCCCCCCGCTGGGGCGCTCCCCCCACTTTATCTATGGGGTCAACTGGTGAGGAAACCTTGGAGCACAAACTTAGCTCCTGTGTTTGTCGATTCCCCTTTGGCCTGTTCAGAAGTGTCAAGCACTCCTCTGTGGTGTAGGGCGAGGAGGAGCGGAGCTGTTGGGTGCGGAAGTGTTTTACTCGAGGATGCCAGTTCAATGTGCATTCCATCTACAACTTGTAGTTGCTGTAACGCCTTGGTGTGGGTTCTGCTGCCCCGGTACGCAGTGCGTGCACTGCCAGGCTGGTCAGGAGCGGGTCTCTGGGGCTGTTCTCATGTGGTGCTTCATTTTGTCCCCTGGAGCGGCACAAAGAGTGAATCGGCGCTATCATACCTGGGTTTCCTCTTCCTGCTCGTGGCAGCAGCAGCCTCCAGCACGTACCCTCCTCTGGGCTGACAGGCCGTGCTGTGCTCTGCTTGCCCTGGGGCGCTGCAGGGAGGAAGTTTCTTGGTGCTGGTCTCTGCCAG